TTTCCATTATAGAACCATTTTTCTGATTTCTTAAGATATCCACCATTTCTAAATACTACTATACAAGATTTGTCAAGATTAACTTCTAAACCCCATTTTGAGCAAAAACGATATAATGTATCAAGTTTTCTTTGTAAACCAATAACAGTGTCATCAAGTAAGGTAACATCATCTGCAAAAAGCAGTAATAGAATATCATTTAAACCATCTTTGACAAATATTCCTCTTAATCCACAGTTATTCATTTCATCCACACGCTCGTTGATAAAAAGTATAAACAGAGCTGGGCTAAGCATGCAACCTTGCTTTACCCCAGATGATGTGTTAAAGATTTCAGATCTCTTATTTCCAACTTTAACACAAGCTGATACCTTGTCATACATATATTTCAGCAACTTGAACATTTTACCATGGACACCTTTGGTGAGAAGTAAATATAAAAGCTTATTTCTATTTACAAAATCAAAGGCTTTTCTAAAGTCAATAAAAGCTGCATAAAATCGATGTTTGGGTTTTCTGAGATATTTTTGGCATAGAGATTGAAGGACAAATATGTTATCGACTGTTGAATAGTCAGCTCTAAATCCTGCTTGACACTCATGTACAATCTCCTGCAATTCCATCCAGATACGAATTCTGGAGTCAAGGATAGAAGTGAAAATTTTACCCATCACATTCAACAATGATATGCCACGATAATTATTCGGATCATGCTTATTACCTTTCTTATACAATGGTATAATCATACCGATGTTCCAATTATCTGGAAATACACCGGTGTCTAATACAGCGTTAAACAGCAATTCTAAGTATGGAATAATGAAATTTCCATTTTTTTAAATACTCAGGTGGTATTTCGGGGGATTTTCCGGTCTTAAGGGATTTGATAGCCTGTTCTATTTCATTTTCAGTTATTGGGTCTGATAAGAAGTCTTCATTGTCACAGTCTGAACAGTCATGACTTGATATATATTCACGAGCGGTTTCATCAAAACCTTCGTCATTTACATTGGTTGCAGGATTAAGTAATTCCTTGAAATATGTAACCCATTTACAAATGGGAATACATGTTATTAAATTGTCGAGATTTATCCCGGCATACACTTTTGAAATTCCTCTTTGCATCAATATAGCAATTGAGAGTTTCTCTGGACCGACACCTCCGAAATGTGTTTAAGTAGAAGAATTTTTTTCTCTTAGCACGCTCACAGTCTTGGTCAAACCACTTAGGTTGTACAGACTTTTGTTTAGCTACTTTAGGCACGTCAGTTACACGTAAATGGCTTCCTACATGCTGCATTAGTTCTGCCAGCTTGTCCGCTGCAGCATTGATATTTACGTTTACCAATTGTTGAAAGTCATCAACAATATTAGATGCTACATCAGACGTTATGTTGACATCAAATTGATAGTCTTTGCTCTTACATGCCTTGAATTCGTCAATTTGATAACACCCTATGCTTCCTTCATTATCGTTGCTATGGGCTTCTATCCCTGCAACAACACCGAGGTTTATAGTGCATGATAATGGTAGGTGATCCGAGTCTGGTCGAGAATGCACAAACATGTCTAGAATAGCACTAAAACAGTTTGTTGAAGTCAGTATGTAGTCTATAAGACTCGATCCATTATGAGTAATACAAGTAACGGACCCCCTCTCGTCCCCTTGCTTTCTACCATTTACAATGTGTATGCCCCAAAGCTTGCACAGTTCTAGGAGAGCGAGACCAAACTTATTAGTTACACTGTCTTCAGTTGTTCTAGGTTCGTTGAAATAGTCGGGTAAATAGAAATCTGATAAAGGGAGATAATCAGTGTCATTATCATTTTCAATCAAATAATCGTCATTTGAACCAACCCGAGCGTTAACATCTCCGAAGAGTACTATAGGTATGTCTTCATTATAGTTTACTCTAATGGATGTCAGTTTTGATTCTAGTTCATCAATATCGTTTGAACCAGTGTCATTGTAGAGCGGGGAACCTTCAGGGAGAATGTGGAGAAAAGCAATAATGCCAATATTATTAATATTGAAATATACACAATTTTGCCAGGTAGAAAAGATTCTCATGTATAAATGGCTGAAAGTGCTTCTTATATAGACGGCAACTCCGCCAGAATATCGTCGATAATTTCCCAATCTTCTCGCAGCAGAGGTATGGCAAACGTATCCAGTAAAGAGTGATTCAGTCTCGCTCATATCATGTTTCATGGTTTCTACTAAGCCAAAGATGTCAAATTGTTCACAAAACCGCATGAATGAATTGTCATGCAGGTGGGAATGGATCCCCTGAACATTCCAGACACAAATGTTCTGGATCAGGTTGGACGTTGTAGCTTTATCTTCTAACATTGGTGATGCATCCGGTTCCAGTGGATGGCCACGGCCGTCTTCCTACGCTGAAACTGACGCCGCTTGGGTACCCCCGGTGTCGTTCCCCCAAGGCCCAAGTGGCGACCCTCCGTGGGCCCCGCGGGAACCGCGACCCGGTGTGCCCCGGCGGGCGGTAGAGGATCGATTACTGATCTTTCTTAAGGCATCATTGTCAAGGACATAAACATCGCCCTATGTAAATGTTACAAGTAAAACGGTTATAATGGGTGAGCGGTACAAGTAAAAGGGTTATAATATGTGACTGGTATAAGTAAAAACGGATATAAAGGTAAGTGGTACAAATAAAAACGGATATAAAGGTGAGTGGTACAAGTAAAAACGGATATAAAGGTAAATGGTACAAGTAAAAACGGTTATAATGGGTGGGTGGTACAAGTAAAGACGGTTATAATGGGTGAGTGGTACAAGTAAAAGCGGTTATAATATGTGAGTGGTACAAGTAAAGACGGTTATAAAGGTAAGTGGTACAAGTAAATCGGTTATAATGGGTGAGAGGTACAAGTAAAAACGGTTATATGTGAGTTGTACAAGTAAAAGCGGTTATAATATGTGAGTGGTACAAGTAAAGACGGTTATAAAGGTAGATTACAATATCCACATCACTGTAAAACAGAATATTGTAATTTTGGAAATGGATAGTTTTTTGGATATAAATTGTGATATCTTGCTAACATAGTACTTTTCTTTGTGACATATGTTTCATATATTTAACAAACTTCTTCTCGTCACTTTATGGCAGAAACTGAGGTGACGTTAGATTTAAATTCACTCACTCACTCATTCCACAGCTGCAAGTTTCCAATAAGCTTCCTGCTATACAACCCTGGTAGGCTATCATGCCCTACCTGGTTTCAATCGCCACGCTGAAGTGGTGATCCGTGGGTGTCACTTTGGACACTCTCATCCATTTTTATTGAAAAAGGAGGATCCCCCTCAGTGCACCACAGACGTATGCCTGTCACAGTTTTTGTTGGAATGTGTGGATTTTTAGCTCATTCGCCAACGATTTTATACTGTTCAAACTATTTCTGAATTTTTCAATAACGTTTTTAATCATTTAAATTTAGGGGACGGTGGGGTAGCCTAGTGGTTAAAACGTTCGCTCGTCACGCGGAAGACCCGGGTTGGATTCCCCACATGGGTACAGTGTGTGAAGCCCATTTCTGGTGTCCCCCGCCGTGATGTTGCTGGAATATTGCTAAAAGCGGCGTAAAACCAAACTCACCCACTCACTTAAATTTAGCGTACTTGAAGGAAATTAAACTATGTGATAAGATGAAGATTTTTTATTCTGAATGTCGGCTTTCACTGTTTACCGTGATAGTCGACTGAAGTTTTAATGATGTTCGTCATTACTTTTATTCTTTATTCGTGTCTATAGGAAAATATGTTTTCGAATAGCAGTAAAATTGCTGATGCGGTTTAAAGCAACACCTACTTTGACGTTTAAAATGCATTTTGCATCGTGCATTTATTAGGTAGGGTTGAATATATAAAGCTATATAGTCTGTCAACCATATAAAGCTATATAGTCTGTCAACCTAACTTTTGGGACTGCATATTTTGCAGACATTACATCAATTAAACCCATGCCCGGACTGAGTTGAGCAAAACAATCACGAAAATATAAAGATAGTTATATAGATAACTTTTTTAATAGGCGATCACTGTGATGTTGATGATAGGGAGAAACATGAATATACATGTAAACAACTTTACACTAAAACGAATAACGGAAAAAAACATTTTGCAAAATATGCAGTACGTTAAGTTACGGCATGATATCTCCGTCGGCTACAACTATATCAAACATTAATCGGAACAAGCACAAGCAATTGTGTAGTTATTGCATACGGTACATTAGCTACATAGCACACCTGTCACACACCAACAGGTGAGGTGAGGTGAAATTGGGTTTAACGTCGTGCTTGAGAATATTTCGGTCTTATGACGACGTGCATGCGTGTGTATGTGCATGTGCGGCTGCTTGTACTAGCCCAGACTGAAGCTGGTTTTATAGTGCTAGCCCACTGAGATACCATGCCGCAGTGAAGCATGAATACCCCACTCAGAGTCATAATACCGACCAGTCCTTGTTGTACCCATTAATGCCGAGCGCCAGGCAGGGACCAACAAGTATCATATTATAACATGTTTTGGGTATGACGCGGTCGGGGATCGAACCCGCGACCTTCCGCTCTCCGGGCGGACGCTCTAACTACTACACCACGGAGGCGGTCCACACACCAACAGATGTTTGTACATACGGTGACTGACTGAATATGGTTTTAAGCAATGTTCCAGCAATATCACGGCGGGGGACACCAGAAATGGGCTTCACACATTGTACACATGTTGGAATCGAACGCTTCAACCTACGGTGAGACTATTCAGGTGTGAACTAGAGACGATCTCAAGTATGCACAACACAATGATTCATTGGTCAAATGCACCTGTCACCAACACGTACTCCCGCAAACTTTGGAGTGTAGATATGAGTCAATGTTTACGCTATGAAAAACTGCAGTGACATGTCGCTATTTATAGCTGACTATTCATGGGATCTCACAGCCTACTTTCGTTTTACTGTTTACAACTACGCAGTTCGCATAGCGATGGCGTGGGAGGGCAGCAGAGAAGGTTTGACTCGTTGTTTAGCTGTCCTGTTTGGCTGTTTGTTTCTACTCATATCGTGGGCTTATCTCTTTCTGACCGTGTGAATGTGTCTGTATATACCACGTGAGTTAATTTTTGGGTCAATATCTGGAGTTATTTATTGTTGTGACCTACCTCTCAAGGGGTTGGTCCTCAGACGTCGGTTGCCATATAACCCCCTAGGGTGGTTATCTGACCAACTCATGCAGTGATACAGCGAACAAGGCTCGGCTTCGCCTCACCTTCTTCCAGGTATCGTATCTCGAGAAGAACTGTCCCTTGTCATATCGGGTTTGACAAGCCTATGCCTCTACGTCAGTTATCTTATTGGAAACATCTTCAATAAATAAATGCAGAACTATTAAAAATAATATTTTATTATAATATCTGCACATTTTAGTGCATATTAATTCAACTAAAATAAGTATGCATTTGACCTTGTGGTATATGTGAAATAACAACGTTAAGCTCGTGAATCGCTTCGATAAGCACCTCTAGGTTCCCTGAAGGTGGCTATGACAGCGAGCCACACGCTTGCTGGTTATTATTTGACCCCCACACGCTTGCTGGTTGTTATTTAATATCTCAGTTCCTCTCTCTCTCTCTCTCTCTCTCTCTCTCTCTCTCTCTCTCTCTCTCTCTCTCTCTCTCTCTCTCTCTCTCTCTCCTCTCTCTCTCTCTCTCTCTCGCTCTCTCTCTCTCTCTCTCTCTCTCTCTCTCTCTCTCTCTCTCTCTCTCTCTCTCTCTCTCTCTCTCTCTCTCTCTCTCTCTCTCTCTCTCTCTCTCTCTCTCTCTCTCTCTCTCTCTCTCTCTCTCTCTCCTGTCGGATGTCATACATGAGGATGGTCACTGAGTATGACATACGGAAACTGAACTCCAAACACTATCATTCCATTTTGTTTGACAGCAATGGACGATGTCTACTGTGATGAAGAAATATTTGACATGCACAATCTGTCTAGAGCTCTACACTGATCCCAGAGGCCTGCCTTGTCACCATGCGTTCTGCTATGCGTGTCTGAACAGCCATATTAACACTACGGTTGAAAAAGGAAAGAAAAGCTTCAAATGCCCGCTTTGTCGAAAGAGAACAAAACCAGAACGTCCCCAAAAACCAATAACGACCTGGGCCAATCAATTCAAACACGATTTCAAGCTGACGTCCATGCTTGAAGATTTGGAACGATGTGGTGACCAGTTTTATTTTATTTACGAGTTACAATTCGTGAACGATTTACTTGGAAACAATTTTGTAATATGTTGACCTCGCTTGTGAGTAATTTGGCTGTTACATGTGTTTTGAAGACCAGCTACTTGGTCCTAATTTGAAACACTGCGCGGAATGATATACGTTTAATAAGGGGTTTTGTTTTGAATCGGTTTGGTTTTATGTTTGCGGGGGGTTGTGTTATGTTTTCGGTTGTTGTTTTTTTTAATACTGCTTTGTGTTGTTTGGGGTTTTATTGCTATTGTTCTTTTTATTTGCCGATCTATTTTGTTTTATTGATTAGTTTGTTCTGTTGTTTTTGGTTGTTTTGACTGTAGGTTTTAGTTGTATTTTGGTTGTTTTTTTTATTGTTTTCTTTTTTTGGGGCTGGTGTTTTTTTCCGCGGGCGGGGGGTTATTATTCAGGTGTCCGTGTAACACCCATTACATAGTGCGGAATTATACGGGTTTACTATGCGTCTTTGTGTTATCGGTTTGGGGTTTTTATTTGCGGGGATTCATCCGGGGGTTGGGGGTTGTCTGTCTTGATTTGGGTTTTTATTAAAAAAAAAGTATCTGTTTTTGTTTTGTTTAGTTTTTGTTAATTTATGTGTTCTTGGGTTTTGTTTAGAGTCTTTACATTATTATTAATAATTATATTCATTAATGTGTATTTTATTGGAGGGGGGGGGGGGGAGCATTCAGGAATCGGTGCAGTGCAAGGTTTTGGTTTTAAGTTTCACGGTGCATATTTCTTTATGTTCACAGTCCCAAAGACCACTTTAGAGAGTGAGCCAGTTAACAACGCCGCTACATCAACAACAACGGAAGCAGCAGCAGCAGCTTCAGCAGCACCCAAATCGGCCATGCCTTCTTCGCAGATGGGCGCACCTGAAATGGGCCCAACACCCAAGTTGAGACAGCAACCACGACACTTGTCAGCTGCAACAACTCAGGATAATGCCCGTACTTCGCTTCTGGACGGCCCCGAACGTAAGGAAGGGACCCAATATCATGATACGATCCCTAGTTCCATATTTCACCCAGTTGATACAAAGGAAGAAGACAAAAGCATCCGTGCAATAGCGGGATCTGTTGAGAGATGTATCGTCCTTGCCGCTGCAGATCAGGTGAGCTATGACCTCACGGTACTTGTACAGGGTGAGAAGAGAATAATACTGACGCCTCATTACGAAAGGAAGAGTATTCTTGCCATCACACTTAATCCACAAATGGATGAGGTCAGCAGATGTTCCCTCGACCTTCAGGCAACTCCTAGTCGTATCTGTCACCTCGATAACACTACTGTGGCTGTAACAACGTCAGATCCAAATACAGTTGCAGTCTATGGGATGCAGGATGAGCTACTGTTGCGGAATCGAATTCCAACAAAGAAAACGTATGATGGAATTGCGTGTTTAGATGGTAGGTTATTTGTTGTAACCACTGGAACAGATGTTGACATCCTTGACTGGGATGGTAGAGTACTAGCCGAGCACAAACTCACAATTCCCAATGTGTTACGACCAGACAATTGCTACGTCTCTGTGACCCCTGATGGGGCGATGATAGTTACTGATCTTTTTGGACATGCCCTGTCGTGTCTAAAACGGGACGGTAAATTGTTTTGGCAGAAAAGAAAAAGATTTTTAAAAACCCAATGGGAACTGCTGTTGACTACAGTGGTGCTATTTTCTTGGCTGACCATGACTCTGAAGCAATCTTGCAGCTGAACAAAATGGGTTTGGTGGTTTCTAATGTTGTGGTGAAATCGGAGCAGTTCAGAAAACCATCCGCTGTTGTGGTGGACAATACGGGGTATATGTACGTGATTTGTGACTATAATTTCATCGCTGTGGTGAAACTATCGAACCGTGATTCGTAGCATGGCCATCCACGCACTACACAATAATATAGATGATTAGTCCTAGGCCAAATGTTAGAAAAGTCCTTATCTTTTAGGGTCTCTCAGCAGCAGTAAAGACGTTATCCAGTAATTGGTATGACAACTCCCACCCTCCAGAGATTCTTGTCAATGTGGAACTAGACACAGAATGTATCAGGTTACTAAAACACACAAGGTTTACCCTGCTGTTGAAACAGTGTCCACATGTTCATAGACCAACTGCATGAGTATTAACCACATGGTTTAATGGACGGTGACAAGCACTGATGTTCAACATGATCAGGATATGCAGTATGGGTGATAAGGCCTGGTGTATCATATTACCTGATAATGATGTTATCTCTACATTTGGCCTAGGAGTATTATGAACAGAACAGAACATAGACTTTATTAAGACTTGAACCAGCTGGTCCCTCGTCTTGACACTGGATACACATATGTACATAGGCATATTGTATTAAACATTTACCTGATTTTACAATGTTTTTGTTATTATCACATGCAAGTATTGTACAAGTTTATAGACACTATGGGTTTGACAATAATATTTATTAATGTATAACAAGTACGTTCTTTAATATAATATATTATCTGGGAAAATGAGTGAGTGAGTCAGTTTAGTTTTACGCCGCACTCCGCACTATTCCAGCTATATGGCGGCGGTCTGTAAATAATCGAGTCTGGGCCAGACAATCCAGTGACCAACAGCATGAGCATCGATCTACGCAATTGGGAACCGATGATATGTGTCAACCAAGTCAGCGAGCTTGACCACCGATCCTGTTAGTCGCCCCTTACGACAAGCATGGGTTACAGAAGATCAATATTCTAACCCGGATCTTCACGGGTGAAGACAAGCATGGGTTACAGAAGATCAATATTCTAACCGGGACCGTCACGGGTGGAGACAAGCATGGGTTACAGAAGATCAATATTCTAACCCGGATCTTCACGGGTGAAGACAAGCATGGGTTACATAAGATCAATATTCTAACCCGGATCTTCACGGGTGGAGACAAGCATGGGTTACAGAAGATCAATATTCTAACCCGGATCTTCACGGGTGGAGACAAGCATGGGTTACAGAAGATCAATATTCTAACCCGGATCTTCACGGGTGGAGACAAGCATGGGTTACAGAAGATCAATATTCTAACCCGGATCTTCACGGGTGGAGACAAGCATGGGTTACAGAAGATCAATATTCTAACCCGGATCTTCACGGGTGAAGACAAGCATGGGTTACATAAGATCAATATTCTAACCCGGATCTTCACGGGTGGAGACAAGCATGGGTTACAGAAGATCAATATTCTAACCGGGACCGTCACGGGTGGAGACAAGCATGGGTTACAGAAGATCAATATTCTAACCGGGACCGTCACGGGTGGAGACAAGCATGGGTTACAGAAGATCAATATTCTAACCGGGACCGTCACGGGTGGAGACAAGCATGGGTTACAGAAGATCAATATTCTAACCGGGACCGTCACGGGTGGAGACAAGCATGGGTTACAGAAGATCAATATTCTAACCGGGACCGTCACGGGTGGAGACAAGCATGGGTTACAGAAGATCAATATTCTAACCCGGATCTTCACGGGTGAAGACAAGCATGGGTTACAGAAGATCAATATTCTAACCGGGACCGTCACGGGTGGAGACAAGCATGGGTTACAGAAGATCAATATTCTAACCGGGACCGTCACGGGTGGAGACAAGCATGGGTTACAGAAGATCAATATTCTAACCGGGACCGTCACGGGTGGAGACAAGCATGGGTTACAGAAGATCAATATTCTAACCGGGATCTTCACGGGTGCAAATCGAAATGAAATGGTATTTGTCTTGTATTCGATTAAGATTTAAAGATAAACAATGGACAGATATTCTTTCTTCCCTCGGTACATTATGGTATTTTCCAACTTCAATTAGTAATTTATGTGACGATGTTCTTAGGGAGTAACAATTTTTCTAATGGGATTATTGTTAACATTTAAGTAAATTTCACAGCCAAATTGTTGCTTAATATGTTCATAAATGAAAACATTTCCATTATTAGAGGTGCCGAGCATGAGGTGCCGGGATCGAGCCCACCCGTGACCGGGTGTAAAAACCTTGGAGTCAACTTTGTGTGCAGACTCTTTCAGTGTTGTCACAACCCCTAGTGTACAGTACACAACCCTGTGCACTTAAAAGAACCCACGAATCCGTTGGTATATGACCAAATGGTGGCCACATGAATACATGCAAACACCTAGTTGCGGGTACAGCAACGCGCAGTAAACTTGGACAATGTCCTGTGACCATGTGTCCCAGTCCACCCAGCTGTGAATGGGTACCTCGTACGGATGGGAAAGCCGCAATAACTCGGTTCGCCTAGTGGCTGCAAGAGTTGTATGATCCCCAGGGAGTTGTGATTGATAATAAGATGTGCCGTTTGAGATTGACAGGGAAAAACTACCAGCGTCTTGAGCATGCACTAGTGCGTGGATATGTCCGCTATATAAATAGCCAATAATAATAAAAAAAATAGTTAGTCTTAGCTGACAGGTAACAAGAAATGCATTATGATTAACACACCAGGAGAGTGTCCCACGCATAACCAAATCTATTTTTATAGAGTAGATTCTTCACGTCGCTTGCCTAGGAAAGGTTGTTCTTAGGGGAACCAATTAAAGATGTATCATACATTATACTCAGTACACAGTTATTTGTTGCCAACAGTTTGAACCAATAATTGATGATGCGAACGTATGTGTTTATACGCATACAGAGCTTGTCTTCTGATTTACTTACAGTATCCGTTTGCAGAATTTCAGATGAATTCTTTCCATATCTGTACAGTTGGTGATTCTCCATATCTCACTTCCAAAGTTCATGGTGGATAACACGAATGCATCAAATAATTCACACTGGGTTTTCGGAGTGAACTAAAACTTCCTTATATTTTTCAACGGCACATTTAAACATTTCAAACCCTTTACTGTTAAGGTTTTTTTGTAAGCTGAGAGAACCATTATTTTATAAAAAACCTCCCAAGATAGTTGAAATGGTCACCATATGTCCATTCTTCATTTGATTTGAGCTATCCACCATTTCGGAAAACAACAATCTTTGTCTTGTTTTTATTCACTTGAAGTCCCCACTGCATACAAAAATGTCTTAAGTAATTTGGTAACAGTTGTAATCCCTCAGGTGTGTCCGACAGCAGAGACCATGTCGTCAGTGAATAGAATTCAAAAGACGTTTATATATTTCAATAGAAGACCGTTTTCTATATTTTCTTGAAGGGCAAGTGCCAAGTCCTCTAAGTATAATGAAAATAGTATCGGCGACATTGCTTCTCCCTGTCTGATGCCTATGTTACCGAGGAAGTGATCTGATTGTGCTTCACCGTGGATTTAACGTTGTGGTACATTGTCTTTATAACGGACCACAATTTCACCGTTATGCTAGTTGGTTTAGCTTATATAACAGGCAGTCTCTGTCTGTCGTGTAAAATGCCTTGGACAAGTCAACAAAACAACAGTTTAACCTTTGTTTCTCACTCAGACATTTAGATACTATGGTTTTTAGCGCATAAGTAGCATCTGTTGTCGAGTGCCGAGATTTATATGCAAATTGCGCATGAGATGTGATATTATGATTTGCTGCCCAAGTGTTGAGTTTGCATGTCAATACTGATGTGAAGAGCTTGGAAAAACAAGTGTTCAGTGTTATGCCTCGAAGATTGTTAGGGTCTTTATCATCCCCTTTATTGGTATATCGGAACAATTATTCCTTCACTCCAGCTTTCTGGGAATGTTCTACTGTCAAAGATTTTATTGAATAGAGCCGTATTCCTTCACTCCAGCTTTCTGGGAATGTTCTACTGTCAAAGATTTTATTGAATAGAGCCGCATTCCTTCATTCCAGCATTCTGGGAATGTTCTACTGTCACGGAGTTTATTGAATAGAGCCGTATTCCTTCACTCCAGCTTTCTGGGAATGTTTTACTATCAAATATTTTATTGAATAGAGCCGCATTCCTTCATTCCAGCTTTCTGGGAATGTTCTACTGTCACAGAGTTTATTGAATAGAGCCGTATTCCTTCACTCCAGCTTTCTGGGAGTGTTCTACTGTCAAAGATTTTATTGAATAGAGCCGTATTCCTTCACTCCAGCTTTCTGGGAATGTTCTACTGTCAAAGATTTTATTGAATAGAGCCGCATTCCTTCATTCCAGCTTTCTGGGAATGTTCTACTGTCAAATATTTTATTGAATAGAGCCGCATGCCTTCATTCCAGCTTTCTGGGAATGTTCTACTGTCACAGAGTTTATTGAATAGAGCCGTATTCCTTCACTCCAGCTTTCTGGGAATGTTCTACTGTCAAAGATTTTATTGAATAGAGCCGTATTCCTTTGCTCCAGCTTTCTGGGAATGTTCTACTGTCAAAGATTTTATTGAATAGAGCCGTATTCCTTCATTCCAGCTTTCTGGGAGTGTTCTACTGTCACAGAGTTTATTGAATAGAGCCGTATTCCTTCATTCCAGCTTTCTGGGAATGTTCTACTGTCAAATGTTTTATTGAATAGAGCCGCATTCCTTCATTCCGGCTTTCTGGGAATGTTCTACTGTCACAGAGTTTATTGAATAGAGCCGTATTCCTTCACTCCAGCTTTCTGGGAATGTTCTACTGTCAAAGATTTTATTGAATAGAGCCGTAATGTTCGGACACATGAGATCTGCTGCTGGTGTCTAGTCGCTTCTTAAGACAAATATGGGAAGCGGAAGACCTATTCGAATCGTCACGGTTTTATATCCATTTGGTGAACCCTCAACAATGGGTGCTGATTGGCCTGGAAGGATATTCAGGAGAAACCTACTTTCATTTATAGTCCGTCAACCAAACTTTTGGAACACTTTTTTTTCAAGTTACGTTTAGATAACAGAAGGTATCCAACTTTAATTGGCTCAGTTGAGAATGATATCTGACGACCTATTTGGGTGTTGAATTTCAAAGATTTATATCAACCATTAAATATTTTACTTAAGAAACTATCATATAAAGTTTCTGTCAACAACATCATTTTCACAAGGGAATACTGGCAAGTACTGGAATAGCTATCAACAATGTCGCAATGTGT